AAACAAATTAAATGTACTGGGCAATTGCACTCTTTGACACCAGAATGAAATGAAACAAATTAAATGTACTGGGCAATTGCACTCTTTGACACCAGAATGAAATGAAACAAATTAAATGTACTGGGCAATTGCACTCTTTGACACCAGAATGAAATGAAACAAATTAAATGTACTGGGCAATTGCACTCTTTGACACCAGAATGAAATGAAACAAATTAAATGTACTGGGCAATTGCACTCTTTGACACCAGAATGAAATGAAACAAATTAAATGTACTGGGCAATTGCACTCTTTGACACCAGAATGAAATGAAACAAATTAAATGTACTGGGCAATTGCACTCTTTGACACCAGAATGAAATGAAACAAATTAAATGTACTGGGCAATTGCACTCTTTGACACCAGAATGAAATGAAACAAATTAAATGTACTGGGCAATTGCACTCTTTGACACCAGAATGAAATGAAATGTAGTTCAAGATCAAGGTCTTGCTATACTAGTACTACACATTGACCAGAGTAACGAAGACAGGCAACTCCATGCAGTGTGTAATGGGGGAAATTATGAAAGTACTCAGCACTGTACTCAAGATTTGGTTCCAAGGTTTTTAAATTATATTTGAGCATCTAATTGTAAGTGTAAGACAGCTAGTGTTAGGTTCTAAGCAAGTCTCAGGTAAAATTTTAGTGGATAAGAAACCATGTCCACTTCTTAACCAATAAAATTTACATTAATATAATCTAATATAATATAATACTTTGACATAAAATACAGTTTAAGAAAATCCTGATATTTACAATTAATTCAGTGATTGACCAATCAGATGAAGGGAATGTTTGATTCAGTTTATATATAAATCATTTTATGTATAATTTTTTGAATCAAATTTAGATTTTAACGCAATTTAATTTAAAAAAAGAAATATGTGCCGCCATTGATAAAGTCTGTACAGTTGCTATGGACTGATGGAAGCGGTTTTGGCGCCAGAAAAGTGAATGTTATCAGTTTTATTTCTGTATCACAAGTATAAAAGATAAGGTACTATTAGGTACAGATCGTGTGTTTCTAATAACTCAGTTTTTAAACATCGTGTTGAAATTACAGCAGACTTGAGATAATTTTCAGGGAATATTTTAATGTATTATTTA